CAGTATAATTAAAAATCACATGAATTTCAGTTTCAGCCGTAACAAATAAATAATAAGTTTTCGAACTGTTCATGAATCAAAAATTTATATATAAGGCCTTACACAGTAAATGAATATTACGCCGACATGTGTAAATATGCAATTCACGGCTTTTCATGCCAAGCGTGGTAAGTAGATTTCCCGAGAATCTTTGAGTCACTGCTATTTTTAGATTTCTAAGTTTTTTAATTCAAATCCCTTATGCACCAAAAGCTGAACCGAATTTTCCGTCGTTGATATCGTTATCATTCATTCTTATGGAATCTTCTTTCAATGGGCATAAGGAAACTAGCCCATTTCTAGAGATGCACATTTATGGTGTGATCTACTAGCGCCGTTCATATAAATATAAGCGGGTTGCGCGCGTGTGAAAATAAAGGAAAAATTGCGATTATAAACCAATTTTCAGCTTATAAAATATCAAAACAAAATAATATGGAAAAAGAATCAAATACTAATTCAACGGATCAAGTTCCGCCGCCTAATAATAATATCCTCGATGACATAAATACACCACCACCACCGTATGTACCACGTGACTCCGAAACATCAATGTCTGATGCAACAAATAGGCAACGCCAACCGACATCAATTAACGACATTGTATACAATACAACAGGCGGAATCTATAACGCGACTCCTGCAAGCACTAATAATACTACCAATGCCAACACACCAACTATAGACGCCACAAATCCATTATCACCTCCAAATCCTCCTCCAAATCCGCCTCCAAATCCGCCACAACCGTCCACAACGGCAATCGAATATGTGCCTGTGGCGATCGTGTCTAGAGATCCATTGACAATGTACTGTCCATATTGTCAGCAACAAGTGTTGACCACAGTAACGAGAATTCCGGGTGCTCGTGCTTATTGTTGTTCAGCCTTATTGTGTTGTGTGTTTTGGCCGTTGTTCTGGTTACCATGTGTAATGAAAGAATGTCAAGATGAATTTCATCATTGTTCAAGGTGTAAACGTGTTTTAGCTATAATTGAAGACGAACCATAAATTTAATCTAAATCCTAGATTTGACTTAAACTTTTTTTAAGTAACTCTCTAGCGATGAAATTTGCTTAATGAAAGTGCATTCATTGTATTTATTTTTCAAGCTTTCTTTAATTTCAAGGATAAAGATATTTTGTTTTCAACCCCTTAAGCAACAAAAACCCCACTTTTTTGTTTGAATTAAGAAGCAATTAGAAACGCCGTCATCTCTCTTTAAATTTGAATTTGAAAAATGTAATTAGTTTAATAGAAATTTTTTTATCCAATTATACATGCTAATTTTAATCCCTTTGGTTTTTTTTAATCACTCGGATTTATTCTATGTATTTGTTAAATAAAAAAACATTGTGATAATAAAATTATAAGAACTGTACGTAATACAACCATAGTGATAGCACTAGTATTACGCATGCGCACAGACTTGTAGCGTATCTATGACGTAATTAGAAGTTCATTCAGAAAATTCCTGTGATCTTCGATCATTATATTTATCTCGGCGTGAAAAAGTATATAAATCATTATATTTGACTTTACTTGTGTTGGTTTGAGAAATAAACTATAACAAAAACGATCTTTTTTTTCAAATTAAGTGTAAAAGCATTTTAAATGGCACTCCTTATAACAGCCGGTGATGTTCTTTTGATCCTTGTCGCTATTTTACTACCGCCTGTTGCGGTGCTCATTGCGACAGGATGTAGTGCTGATTTCTGTATAAATAGTAAGTTTGTTTATTCTAAATCATTACGATCTGTATGATCAAATTAACTTAAACTTGCAAAAAAAATAAAAAGTCGGCTTAACTTTACTCGGATATATTCCCGGGCATATACACGCATTTTACGTGCTATACAAAAAATCCGAGCAACGTGAAATACTTGCACGTCGTCGAGCGGTATTAACGTCCCCATCGATGCCAGTTTCGGGTGCGGCTGTCGATTCCAATCAA